ACCTCCAGAAGCAACCGGGAGAACCCACTGCCTGTGGCCCAGGACCACGAGGGACGCGTGCCCTGGCTGGCTGAGTCAAGCAGGTGTCTGCGCAACACTAGCCTCCCCTTCCCAGTGAGTCTGCAGGGCCTGCAATCCTATCCTCCAGCGGGAAGCAGGGTTCCTGCCCTACCGTGCCCTTGGGAGCGCAGCAGCCCCACCTCGCCCAGCCACAGCTGCCTGAACGGTGCGGTGATGTGGGCTCGGGACCCCCCCCCAGCTGTGGCAGCCACCTCGCCCTGGGTTCCCCCCACAGACGGGCGTGCGACCCAGGAGCTGTCCACAGTAAGAGGACGCGGCGCTCAGCATCACCGCGGCAGGCGGGGCGGGCAGAGCAGAAGGTCCTTGACGGGACAGAGAGACTGCAGGGAGCAGCGAGGTGGCACGTGGAGGAAGGGGCCGCCGCAGGACAAACCGGAGGGTGTAAACCCAGAGAGACCAAGGGTGGTGAGCAATTCCAAAAACAGAGCAATCTTGAAATACCTGAAGGGAATTCCTCACACTGTTTTCATACACTAGCAAAATCGTAAACAGGAGCTATTAGTCTTCTAACAATTTCATAAAGAATATCACTGGCAGAAATAACCATCGCAAAATAAAACTTATACTGGCTGAAACTACACAGGGAAAAACCCATCAGGAACTAAAAATCGAGGGGAGAGTCTCTCTATACAATTTAGAACCGAGCGTTCCAATCAGGCGATCCAACCCAGTGCAAATGATACAGAAGAAAGCTCAGCACAAGGGGAGCGCTAATCAGTAAAATATGATACATATTTAAAAAATAATAAATTCTAGGGGCCCCTGGGTGGCTCAGTCGGTGAAGCATCTGCCTTCAGCTCAGGTCATGATCTCAGGGTCCTGGGATCGAGTCCCACGTCTGGCTCCCTGCTGAGCAGGGAGTCTGCTTCTCCCTCTGCCCCCTTCCCTGCTCCTTCTCTCTCCCTCTCTCAGATAAATAAAATCTTTTTTAAAAAAAGCTAAAAAAAATAATAAATTCTAAAAATCTCTCAAGGGTCCAGTAATATTTACATGGAAAAAATTATTCCAGGGAAAATAATATCTGAAAAATGAAAAAAGTCAATGATCCATTTGCCCTCACCTTAAAACCAGGCAAGTCCCAGCCCCCCGGTTTCTGGAACGCTCACGACTCCACTGGAGCGAAGAGCCTTCTGGAAGCTACAGATGTCGGAGACTGGACATCAGGAACAGCACACCTGGGCCGTGGCCGTGACCCACTAAACCCAGCGCTGAGCTGGAAGGCCTCCGGGTGGAAGGAAAGCTGGGGAGATGGGGACAGAGTGTAGGACTCCAAGGCCCCACACCGCTCCCCACCCCACACCACACAGAGGCCACGGGAGCTGAGGTCATCCTTCCTGGGAGCTCTCCTGCAGGCGGGTGGCCGGGAGCAGGACTTCTGAGGTTGCCCACGGCTCTCTGTGGCCGGCTGGACCCGGAGCACCGCGTCAACACATGCGGCGTCTGCGGGAAGCGGCCAGAGGCTACACACCCGTGCCTCTAGTTACAAAAACGTGCTGACATTGAAAATCAGCACATGCTCTTTGCTGGGAATACCAAAAACGCAGAAAGGAATAAAACAGAAAACTTAAATTCTTATAATCCTACAACCCAGAAATATCTACTACTAATGTTTTGGTTTATTTCTTTCCCATACTTTCTCTGTCTTTGTGTAAATATTTTAATCAGTCATGTCTGTTCCTGTATCCTATTTGATTCGCTCCCATGTGTCACATCATGGCCAATCCTCTTTTCAAGATCGCCCCAGGAAGGATACTTCCAACATTTGTCCATAAATGCTTCCGCTACTCAGTGATCCAAGTACATACACATGGGTTGATGTGTTCTCTATATTCTGCACTTAGCAAAGACCCCAAACCAGAGCTGCTCATTTCATCAGTGGCGGTGCCAGACCCCTGATGAACCCAACACTCGCGGACCCGAGGACTGGCGTGCCCAGAGGGAGTCATGCTGGTTAACCCGGCCGCTGCTGGTGTGGGACTGTAAAGGGGCAGGTCCAGGCTCCTCTCTCCCACCCTCACCCCACAGAGGACTCCACACTGGAACACGCCGCCCAGGGTGGGATTTTAAGTTACCCATGGATATTGGGCATCCATTAAAATGATTTCACAGCATGAAAAATGGTGACACTGAAATCTGACATTAAATTTAAGAAGTAGGATGCAAATTTATGTGGACAATACAATTATAACAAAGCAAAAAAAGGCACAAAAAAAGGAAATATCCTAAAGTAAGTGCCAACCTCTGGATGATTTTATTATGGATGATTTTCTCACCACTTTAGGTATATTAAACTTTCTATCACAAGCATATGTTGGAAAAATTTGAAACAAGGCAGTTACTTAATGAAGGTAGGACTTTATTGCCACTTGCACGCTGAGCTCAAATGTCATTACTTTGAAAAAACATCAATGAAATAGGATCGTGAAATGAATTTGTGACCATCTAGAGTAGGGGAACTACCCACTTCCTGACTGAAATGTAAAATCGCCCACACAAAAAAGTAGAGGCACATCCCTTTTATCACTGTGTAAATATCAGAATTAGTTCAGTAATAAGACTATCTACAGCACTTTCCACTTTCATAAGAAGTATAATAATAAAATAAAAACTACAGCGCCTTAGTTCTGAGATACTGTTAACTTATCACAACCCGAGAACGTTGTGAAGCAGTTCCCTCACAGCCTACCCTTTGCAGCTGGGAAGACAGACACGGGGAGTAAGCAGCACCGGCTCCCTGGGTCAGCTGTCCTCTCAGTCAGCTGGGCTGGCCTCTGCTGGGATAGCCACTACCTTGTTGTTTCTCACAGGGACTGCAGGAGAGGAGCTCCTGCCTCACTCGCTCCTGCATCTGCTGAGCACACAGATGGAGCGCTCCCCAAAACACGGGAAGATTGCTCATTTCGAGTGGGAAGTGTATGGACCAGCATAAGAATGTATGCACAGATAGTCTTTTTAAAGTTCCAAATTTCACTTACGGCAACGTATTCTAAGGAAATATTCAGAGATATGCACAGAAAATACAAGTACAAAAGTATCTTACATATCAAGAAGAAAAAGAACCCAAAACTTTTTTTTTAAAGATGGAAAAAAAACAACCAAGAAAGGAGGAGAAGGACCAAAAGACGGAAAAGAAATACAAATGACTTTTAAATGCCCAGATGATGACTCTACTTCATAATAAGAGAAGTGAAGTCAAACCTACTAAGGCGGCATTTTACTACTCTCAGATCTGCAGCTTTCCTCCCAGTGAGGGCGGCAGGTGACACATTCCTTGTGTTGCCTGTGACATTGTTTCAATCTTTTCGGAGGGCAACATCTACCAGAATTTCAAATGCCCCAGCACTCTGTTACAGTCAGGAATTTATCTTCAAGCTGTACTCACAGACACTTAAAAATGACACATACGAGACTATTGTCTGCAGCAAACCCCTCTCCAGGAATAGGAGATCAGCTGAAGCATGGAGCCGCGCGTCACCACACGAGAGGATGAGGGAGACATGTCTGTGCTCCTATAGAATGATCCAGGGCGTATTGTTAAGTGAAAGAGGGAGATGCAGAACCATACGTGCATGGTGCAACTGTTTGTACAAAAGGAGGGAAGAATCAGGTATACGTTTGCTTGTGTGCTTGCTGACTCATAAAATACCTCTGTAGAGAGAGATCAACCGACAGTGTTGGTGAGAAGGATCCCAGGGAGCCTGGGACCTAGACGGAGAGCATTCATTTGCTGTGAGCTGTTTCTATATGCTTTGAACTTTGAACTAGGAGAATAGTTCATTTATTCTTTTAACTGATTTTTTTAAGAACAAAGGAGAAAACAAGAAATAAAAATCATTAAGACTAATGGAGGGATGTGACAGAAATGCTCTTGGTCTCAAATGTGACAAGGGTTTCCCAGATGTGTACAGCTGTCAGACTCATCACTTGCACATCAAAAGGAGAATGTCCATAAACTGTACCTCAAAAAAGTGAGAAAACAGTGCATGGACTAAATATATGAATATATATACTCAATGGCCTTTATTTACATTGTCCTAATAACTTTCTGGAAACTGGAAACCGCCTAGCTCTCCAGTGTTGGAGAACTGGTTGGGGGAGCAGCTGGATGTGTGTCAGTGTAAGTCCCAGAGCACAGAGCATGAACCTCGAAAATGCACCTCTACCCCCTTTACTGTGCGGCTAATTTGCACGTACAATCTACTTCCTGTAAGACTCGGCACAACCCCAGGGGATACGGAGAAATACGCGATTGTACTAAGAAGGAAACAGATTCAGCAATTAGGATCTGCTAGCCACAGGTGCCTCCACCCCTGTGTACCCTACGCACCCCACCCAAGGTTGTCTACTTGGTCCTTTGCATGCCTCCATCACGGCTCACACACCTCCTTATCTGCTCACACACCTCCATCACTGCTCGCATGCCTCATCTGCTCACATACCTCCTTATCTGTTTACATACTGCCATCACCACTTACACACCTCCTTATCTGTTTATGCACCTCCACAACTGCTCACACACCTCCATCACCGTTTGCACACCTCCATAACTTTTGGCACACCTCCATCACGCTTACACTTCTCCATAATTTTGACACACCTTCAGAGTTTCTTACACACCCTCACAATTGCACTTATATGTGTAACGCTCCCAAATGACCCCCATGTTGCAGGGGAGGCTGGTGAGGGGCCGGGCTGGGACTGAGTTTGCACACACGTGACCACACTGTTATGTGCCGCTCCCAGGACGCGCTCTGTTTCTTGGAGCACAAGGAGCACTCTCTGCACCCTGGCTCACTACAGAGGTGTCAAAGTCCTCTGGAATGCCCGCACCCTGCCTCTCCCCTGAGGCTCCTGCAGCAGCTGGAGCAGCAGCTGTGCCCTCTTGGGCAGACCTCGGCGGGCCGAGGGGCGGCAGGTACCTTTCTCTCCTGCAGGGCCGACTCTCCCAGGCCGTCCCGGCGCACCTTTGTCTCCCTTCTCTCCAGCGTCCCCTGCGGAAGAAGGCACTGCATTTAGGAGCTCCTCATGAGCACGGGTTCCAATGTCAGCTGCCCACCCTGTGTGTGCTGCCGGCCAGGCCCCTTGGCCTCTCTCTCCCCCGCCCCAGCCCCCAGCAGACTTCATCTCTCATCCAGACCATCCCCCACCCCCATCGGCTTTCCCCCATCTTCCCACCCTCCATCACCGAGGGCTCTCAGGTTTCGCTGTCCCAGATCTGTGTCGGGACTCTGCTTCTGCCCTCCTTTCCCCTCTAGGGATGTTGTGTCCCTCTCTCCAATTATCCCTCTGGGCTAGCTTGTCCTCGGGCGCACAGCACTCCCCAAGACCCCCTGTGCCTGCGCTGCTGACCCCCTGCCCTCACGGCAGCATGAGGAGAGCAGGGGTCTGGAGGCTCTCCCGAGGCCCCGGTGTCCCTCTGTACCTGTCTGATGTGCCTGGGAAGAATAAACAGGTGCTCACATCAGCATCCCCTGGTCCCTTCAGCATGAGCCCCCCCCCCCACCTGCAGCACCCACTCGGGGCTGGGGAGCCTGTGACCAGGTGGGCACATCCACCTGATTCAGGTTTGCTGGCCCAGGGTGTCCTGCTCTCAGCCCAGGCTACACGCCCCCACCCTCTGTCGTGAGTCCTGGTCATGTTTCGGCAGACACCTGCGCGTCTTTGACCTGTCGCTTATCTCATTCAGAACTGAAACAGGGAGATGGGCTGTTCATCTCCTGATACCCCACACTTAGCTTGCTGCAAATCGACCCGACGGTTTTTCCCCAGAGATGAGTCCCTCCTGTGACATTCCCGGTTCTGGCTGACACACTGATTCTCCCGGACTGCAAGCCCCGGGCCCAGCATCATCTCTGCTTTCCTGTCTCCCTCATCAGCGAAGCGCAAGACTCTGCCCAGCTCTGTGGGGTCTGACCGGCCCACTCCCTGTCCTGTCCACATTCTGGCCCAGTCGGCCAGCCCCGGGGCTTCGTGCGGCTTTGGGGACTGTGCTCACAGTGCTCATGAGGACAGACATGCACAAAACGTGGAGAAGCCCGCGAGCAGCGGAGGGTGGAGTCCCGATGGGAGACATCAAGGTCCCTCCCTAGGCCCCCTCCTCCCCCCACTCTAATCCACACCAAAACCGTCTTCCTAAAACACAGATCCAATTATGTTATGTCCCTTCCTAAAACCACCAAGGCTGAATGTGGTGACAAATAATGTCCCACTTTTAAGACCGTCCTCAGTAGGCCTTCATCTGGAGCCCAGGTATTGGCAGCCACCTTCTCACCTGACCCGCCAGGTTGCTCCTCCTGATTCGCTCACCAGCTACCTCCTCTCTCCGGTGACGAGGCCCTTGTTCCATATTATATGGCTCGTCTGCCTGACTGCTGTACCGTGCCCCCACAAGAGCACACGGGTGCCGACAGGGGTTCGGTGTACCTCCCCAGGTACGCACAACACCAGCCAACATCTAAGTTACTCCAGTTCTCTGCGATTCTCCCTGGGCACTCACGCTTGGTGAGAGGCTAACTGAGGTTACAGATTCCCCAGTGAGATGCCCAAAACTGATCATCTGGCCTGAAGGAGGGGACTTCCCATTTAAACTTAAGTAAACAGAAAAGCAAAGTGAGTGCCACCAACTAGAAGACAGAGCTGGCCTGTCACTGTGCCCTGCGTGCCCCAGCCTTGAAGCCTCCACCCAGGCCCCTGCTGGAGGGTGGGCTCACACACACCAGCACACATACGTGGCTCTTAAATCTCTGGGTACTTCACCATTCTTAGAAAAGGAAATTATTACAATTGCAATACTTCGAGACACATTGATAGACCAGCAGGAAATACCAACTAACAGACTGAGCTCGCCACCAAAACCTGTAGGCATTTGAGGAACAGCAACATCCAGAAGAGAACCAACAGAGGAAAGGGACTTTTGGGGCAGTCAGTGTCTGACCCCGAAATAAGATGCTGAAAATCTTCATAAAGGCAAGAGAGAATAGGCATCTATGAACAAATATAAAAAGCACTGAAAAGAACCAACTAGAAATCTTGCACAGGAAATAAATTTTTGCAACAAATTGCTCTACAGAAAGGCTGAGAAGCAGAGTGGCCAATGGTAAAAGCCACTTCACCAAACAGAAGGTCAGGATGAAGAACGTTTTCACAGTGCGACACAAAGAGATAAAGGACTGGAAAGTTTTGTTTGGATTTCAAGTTATCAAGTGGAGAGTAAAGGAAAGCCCCACAAATTCCAGTATCCAACTGAAAGGAATTCCAGAAAAGGGAGAACAGACATTGGAAGCCGAGACAGTCGTGCAGGTTTAGGAGCTGTGAGCTCCCGGCACTATGGGAGGGTGTGGGAGAACACAGCGCAGGTGCCCAGGAAAACCACACGGAAGAGAGGAGGTAAAATAACTTACACGTGTCACAGTGACATTGCAGAACCTCAAGAATAAAGAGAAGATTCTATCAGTTACCCAAGAGGAGGAAGAATTTGTAAAGATGACATGCACCTGAATGAGTCAGGCTGACCTAAGAATTCTCATCAGCAGCACAGGATACGAGATTAAAGTAAGATAAAATGCAGCAATAATTTCAACCCGAAAAAGCCATAATTGAGAATGAGAGATCAGAAAAGGGCTCTGATGAAGTGACTTCTACCTGACACCTGCCGTAGCCAGGGGAAATGGTGCTCCGAGAGAGGGGGACAGCACCTGCACAGGTGAGGGGCGGGGAGACGGGAAGTGACTGGGGCGCGGGCGCGGGCGCAGGCTGGGAGAAGCCGGAGCACACAGCTCGTGCGTGGGGGCCGTGGGAAGCCCCGGCACGCCGTGCCCAGGGAGATAGCAGGGCCCGCCCCGCGTGTCGGGGAGAGGGGCAGGTGTATGGCTGAGGTAGTCCGCGCCGAGGCGAGCGGGTGTCACCCCTGCAGGACAGCACCTGCTTCCACGTGCCTGACCCCCTGGACGGAAACCCCTGGAAGGTGGAGTGCACATCCCACCAGCTCGGGGTCTCCCGATGCGCCCGGGGGGCGGGGGGACCTTGACCACAAAGGTGCTCCGTCCACACTTGCAGG